AGTTTTTGCACTTTTCTATTTGCATCTGCCTGCAAGTATTTCCACATTTCGGGGTAATTAAACAATTTATTGTACTGCCTGGTCTTGGAAGAGCAGCCAAGTCCTTGACACGAGCTACGGCCTTACTCGCAGTATTGCAAGAAGAGCAGCAGTCGGCCAAACCTTCGAGGTTGAACTTCAGGCTTCCGTGCACTGTGCGAATGCAAAGTGCGAATTATTTAATCGAGAGTTATGACTTAACAGCAGTAAAATTTCATTTATAATTAATGCCATTTAATGCAGTAGATGAGTGAGGATCCCTCTTTAAAAATAAACTTAATTATAGGTCTGTGCACAGGCTTCATTTCTTCGTACAGCAATATAATTGATTTTTGTATATGATGTTAGAAAGCTATAAGAATCAGCTACTATTGCTAATTCTTCTTCGGTTTTATGAAATCATATAGTTGTATCTGCACTCTTTTGATTCCCTTTTCTTGCGGTGTAGTGCTTTGTTTATGCACCCCCAACAACTCCCTGCAAGGAAAACTCCTAACTATTGCCCTAATCGAAAGATGGCACATGCCAAGACAGGAATGCAGACCGGTTTCGCTACTTACCCTCTATAAAATAGATATTCCTATAGTCCGAGTATCCTTTGGCGGTCTTCCGGCGGGGTCCTTTCGCTGTAATTCTTGTGAAGCCAACCAACAGTGTCACACTCGAGTGTGTTGCAACAACTAACAGAGAACTGACAAATTTCGTGGCTGACACATTTTCGAAAAGGCTTCGACGTCACTGGTAATTAGGCATAAGTCAAAGAACCCCGCAGAACACACATGGAGTACACGATGAAACCGCATAAAATAAACGTGTCGCACGCTTCGAAATTGGGCAATGCACGAACCGGAACTCGACTTTCAGAGTGGTGTCAGTGGCAAGGGCCTCGAAACCTGGATGGTGGTCAGCTCTCAGATCAGCTGCTGACACTTTGAGCCGGCAGCGACAGCGGAACGTGCTGTAGAACACGCAGTGTTTCGGGTTCTTGGCCAATCGAATGAATTACGATGGAGGCTATTTTGCACTTTCGAAGCCCGAAAACAGAAAACTCAACGGAGGGCTGATTTCGCGGAAAGCCAATTTTGAACGAAGTGTTTACCGCAACAGCCGCTCGACGACTGACGTTGAGTTTGGAAAACAAGCTAACGAGACTACGCAGCTCTGCTGGAATCGAGCTATGTTCGGAATGGCTTGGCAACCCTGTTGCCGGAGAGAAAGATATGGCCAAAACTACAGAGAGAGTAACGCACCGGAGGCACGCGAGTAATTAGCCAACCGTAAGTTCCACCGGCTAATACCAAGTGGGTGAGCTCTGTTTGTTTACACTTTGCGAGCTCGTTACTGGATCGCAACTGGGCGCTCACTGGAAGCCTGGAAAGACGGGAAGTCTTCGGAAACGGCGGTGAGCGGAAACCGGAAGTGCGTGCGCTTATGCAATTTTGAAGGTTACAAACTGCTGAGCTTTCCACTGAACCAACCGTAACACAGCAATTTCAGTTTATTTAGCGTCTATATCCACAGCTAACTGCAACTTATTTAATTGGTTTTCTATCCTAAACTATTACTAGCAGCCCGCATGAACAGTACTTGCATACTATTTTTAATACAGTCAATCTATGATTATTTATTTCCATAGAATATGTCCGTGGCTCGAGTGTCTATGATGCGAAAGGGCCACTCCGGGGAGCTAGCACGGAAGGGCAACACAGTGGTGGTGTCGGTGCCACCCCTGGTGAAGAAGTCCAGCAAGAGCCGCTCGTTCCACTTCCGCTATCTGGAGCTGTGCCGGGCCAAGAACCTGACGCCGGTGCCGGACATACGCAGCAAGTCCAATGCGACCACCACCTTTCTGGAGCTGTGCGGCGATAAGCTGGCGGTCAGCGATTGGCAGCTCCTAACCGAGGCACTCCACTATGACCTCGTGCTCCAGCAGCTGGTGGTGCGCCTGCGTCGCACATATCCACAAAGTAGGTGATAGTATGTCTATGGAATGTGAATGATACCCCTTTCGTTTATTCATTTTTTCGGCAGCCAACATTGATCCCATTGACACAGAGAAACGCGCCCGTCTTTTTCGTCAGCGACCAGTGATCTACACCCGGTTTATATTCAACAGTTTGGTCCAGGCGATTGCCAACTGTGTTTCGAGCAACAAAAATTTAAGTGTGTTGAAGCTGGAGGGACTGCCATTACAGGATGGCTATATCGAGACCATTGCCAAGGTGGGTTGAGAAGTTTCGCAGTCGAGATCCGTTTTCAAGTACACATACATTCCATTCCCAGGCACTGGCCAACAACGAATGTCTCGAAACAGTGAGTTTTCGTAAATCTAATATTGGTGATAAAGGTTGCGAGGTGGTCTGCAACACCGCCAAATACCTGAGCCGCATCGAAGTGTTCGACCTCTCAGAATGCGGACTTACTTGCAAGGGAGCCGAGCACGTGGCCGACATGCTCAAGGTAATCCCTTAATCCCTTTAAATCTCTCTTTCCAAAAATATATCCCTGCGATTTCAAAAAATCCATATGCATAGTTAAATTATCCTTATAGTGGTGCTTTAAAGCTTGGCCCATACATCATTCATAATGTGATGTATATTCAATTACATCATGCCTAGTTAAGCCAAATGTTTTTTGTACCCCAGATGCAAAAGATCACCCGATTCACGGAGGGCTGGGAGAAGTCTCTCCGCTACCGCAACGTGGATGTGAACACGATTGGCGGACTGCGCACGGTTCTATTGGCTGACAACTTGGCGATTGGCGACGAGGGTCTCCGATGGATCACCGAGGTGCTGAAGGAGGATGCCTGGATAAAAAGTAGGTAGAGTCCGAGTAGTGCGATCCATACAGACCAAATAACCCACAGAAATCGACATGGACGGCTGCGGCCTGACGGACATCGGAGCCAATCTGATCCTCGATTGCCTGGAGCTGAACACGGCCATCACGGAGTTCAGTGTGCGAAACAACGATGGAATCAGTAAGTTCCTCCAGCGGAGTATCCGCGATCGTCTGGGCTGTTCACCAGAGGAGAAACAGGAGCCGGAATATGACCTTAGTTGCGTCAATGGGCTGCAGAGTCTGCCCAAGAACAAAAAGGTCACCGTCTCCCAACTGCTGTCCCACACCAAAGCATTGGAGGAGCAGCTCTCCTTCGAGCGTACGTTGCGCAAGAAGGCCGAGAAGCTGAACGAGAAGCTCAGCCACCAACTCATGAGATCCGACACCAAACACATGGTTCAAGAGAAGATCATGGAGGGAGGATTACAAACGAACACTTCGAGGGAATACGTGGCGCGGAATGAGGTCGTGCCAGAAGTCATCAAGAAGTGGGCCAACTCATAATTCTCAAATCAAAGCCCATCTGATCGTTTTTCTTTGCAGTTCCCAGAGCTACCGCCAGTCGCACTTCAACCGGCTGGTCAACAGTGCGGTCACCAGTCCAGAAGTCACACCCCGCAGCGAGATGGCCACATTGCGGAAGGAGCAGCAGCTGCTACAAGCCTCTCCCATGCAGATCAAGCATTCTAGCTTGGAGCAGCACCTGAGAAATCTGCGCGAGGTGCAGGAGGAGGAGGTGGAGGATGAGGTAGAGGATGAGGAGGAGCAGGAGCAGGAGCAGCAGGCGGAAGAGACCCAATCCGATTCGGAGCCGCAGAACGAGGATCAACTGCACTACGAGCAGCAAATCCAGGTTCAACGCAAACAGCTCCAGGTGCGCAAGGTTCGCAGTGAGATAAAGTACGTGGAAAACAATCCCAAGGAGGCAGCCAACAAGAATCGCGAGTCCAAGTCCGATCATGAGTTTGCCAACGAGCGAGATGTGAGTATCCAGTATATACAATTATCAGTATTACAAATGTATTCTCCTGTTCGATAACCCATCTATACCCAGTTCAAGCTTAATCCCTCTGTGCAATTTGAGACGGACATTGGCGACACTGTGATGGTAAATCCCAGCCAGCGATACGAGGGCGGGGGTGATGCGGGCTATGGCTACAACTACGAGCACGAGCAGCCAGTCAAGCGGGGCTACGAGAAAGGCTATGTGGTGGGCACGGGCGACGGATCGCATAGGAGGCAGAGACCATCCCACCTGGTCGAGGCTTTGGCCCAAAAACGTGGCGCAGGCCCAGGCGATGGACATGTGAAGCAGTTCGTCAGCAACCTGGAGCGACAAGCGAACGCTGGTAAAACGGGTAAAAAGCGCCTTAAGCCGCGGCCTGAGGACGATTTTCAGGTTCGAGTCGGCGACATGCACATGGAGTCGTATATGTCGCGCTACGAAGAACTCTCCTCAACGGACGTCACGCTGGCGAACTCCGACGACGACGTGGGTACCACGGACTCCACGTTACGTGGTAGCTCGAATTACTCCTCCATGCATGTCTTTGTGCGGCGCAAGCAATCGGAATCCATGGCGCTGACAGAAGAGGCCGGTGACGGAGTTGCTGGCGGTGGTGGAGCGCCAGGCGATATCGGTGACCAAAAGGTCATATCCCCGGGAAAAGTCTACATGTCCCTTCAGCTCCAGAAACAGCGGGAGCAGAGCGCCTAAGGGCCGCGTCTTTAGGTACTTCTAAAAAATCGCAGCAGCCATTCGCAGCCGGAGCAGCGAAACCTCTGCTGGCTCCACCGCCGAGCAGTACCACCACCACGAAGCAGCCAACTCGATTCGATGGAATCCCCGCTGGGAGAGCTAAATTTGCAGTCGTACTCCCGGGCGGCACCAGTAGAAAAGGGAACCTTCTGTGTGCACGTCCTTCTGCCCTCTGCGAATTCAAGCTGCACCAAAAATGTACAAAAATATACATTGGTCTTACCGATTTCCATTAAAGATTTATTATTTGTGTGCTCCCTAAGCGAATTTGTTGGACCTTATTTTTGGAGCATTATTTTGTGAAATATCATCAAATAAGCTAGGAACGATTAACCGCCAAGTCAAGATGCACATATGATTTTGAGCTGTCTAAGTGATATTTTTAGATTTATTTAGTCCGTATATTTGTGGAATTATAAAATATTTGCGATCGGTTAAGTGCGATACTACTGATTAAGTTTCAATTGGATCAAGTAATTTGAATGTAGTTAAGTTAACCCCTTGGTTATTTATCAAGTGGAGGTTAGAGGGCGTGCTTAACCGCCAAAACCGTAGAGGGTGCGTCCCTGGCGCTTCAAAGCATAAACCACGTCCATGGCGGTCACGGTCTTGCGCTTGGCGTGCTCGGTGTAGGTGACAGCGTCACGGATAACGTTCTCAAGGAATACCTGTGAATTTTCCCAGGAAAGTATTAACCGGTTTTTCAACGCTTTACCTCCCCTTTCCCCAATAGTTACCTTAAGCACACCGCGAGTTTCCTCGTAAATCAATCCAGAGATACGCTTTACACCGCCTCGACGGGCCAAGCGGCGAATAGCAGGCTTGGTGATACCCTGGATGTTATCACGAAGCACCTTGCGATGACGCTTGGCGCCCCCCTTTCCCAATCCTTTTCCTCCCTTTCCGCGTCCAGTCATTTTTTAGTTGCTTACTTTGCTTTGTGAAATTCGCTGGAAAGAAGAGAAGACGCAATAAACGGTGAAGCGACGCCATGTTTGGTGGGGGTGAAAACTAGCAGGTAATTTAACAGGTTAAATCTGTTGTTACAAGTGAGTTTCAATGCAAAAGTTTGGTTTCTGTTTATTGTTTCATATTTTTGCATTAGCAAACTGGTTTTTGTTGTTCGTTTTTCCTATTATTTACTTATAATACTCAGCAGCAACACTCACCTCAAGAAAAATCCAGAAAATTTGTTTGTGAGCGTGACCAGACTTCACACACCTTAAAATACCTGCCGCGCAATGCTCATATCTAGTATTTTAGTTGTCTTATAACCAGCCCTGGTCCCTGGTTGAGGTTATCGGCTATCGGCCATCGCTATCGCCGCCCCGTCGCGACAAAAAAAAATGTAATCGAACCGAAAGACGTGCTCGCATAAAAATCGCTTCAAAACAGGCCCGCAGACCTGTAAAAATCGCAAAAGTGCTGCGCGCAAACACTTTTTCATCTGTGCCGCTCAACTTACGATCGAGTCGCGGCGAAAAGTCAAGGAAAATCCGCGGAAATGCGCATGCAAACGGCGTGTGGCCAGCAAAATCGCTGCCAAGGCACCGCACACACACTCGGCCGCCCACACATACACACTTAGAAAAGTGCGAAGACAACAGGAACTCTGTGCCAAAATAATAATACCAGTACCCAGTACTCCACTCCACCTGTCCCCCAAAACATATAAATATTCGCGTTACGTATACGCAACGAGTGCTGTAAACAAGTTGGCCTAAGCGATAACAATGCCCAAATACGATCTGCTTTATCTAACGGCGCAGCTAACGCTGGGTATGTATTGCACTGCGAGTGTGTGGGTGCATACTTATTGGCGCCTTAATTCCCAGTAGCTATACTTACTATATTATCTATACTATATTTTGTCTTTGCTTCCCGACTCCTACTTTCCGCTGTAATGTAAGCCGCCTTCGATTTATAACCACTCGTGCATGTATTTTGATGCATTCAGCGTAATGCTATTACTTTATTAATATCACATGGCGCTCGAAACGTACATTTAGGGTGTATTGGTTTTGTGATAGCTTTGTCCATTGTTAGAGCCCAGTTATTTTCCGTTTATCTCGTGGTTGTCATTAGCCAACAGAACAGAAAATCTCAAATTTTAATATATTAGCTATAACGAATGCAAACGCTGGTTATAAAATGTATCTGTGAAGTAAATACGCATCCACAAGATACTCAATTAAAGCCCCAACAATATATTTTAAAAGTGTAGTTAAAAATCGAGAGAATTATTAAATTGGATATAAGGAATACGTTGAACCCCAAGTGCTTACTCGGTATTAATCGATCGGATATCTAATTCCCAATCTTGATCCATGTGTGTACACCACACATTGAGCATTTCTTTGAATGGATTTTGCTGCATTAGGAACTTGTTGTATAGCAGGTTCTGGTTTCTCCCACCCTTTTGCTCCACCGCCCTCCCTCCCTCTCGTTCGCTCGCGATATCCCTCTCTCTTTCTGTAGCGCAGTGCGCTCTCTTCCCTGTTGCTGTTGTTGTTGTTTCTGCTGCTGCTGTTTCCTTTTTCCGCACAAGCGCCACTTTAAACCCATCCCTTTCTGTGTGCATAATGTGCCTGCTTATGTATCTACTTTACTATAAAGCATGCACGCTTACGAGCACACACACATAGCCAGCGATCCGATTACCTAAAGGACAGTGGGGCAAAATGTGTGGCAAAGGATCAAATACAGTTTGCTCATCCAGTGCATGTATTCATTATAAGTAACGTTTTCAAAGAGATAATTTTTTGTAGTATATATTTTATCCCACATATTATTGTTAAGCAGACGTTAAAATATAGAAATTTAGTACAAATGCATTTACTTTTCTTTATACCTTTAAGAAGTTAATTATCACTTAAATTCCCATCAACAGAAAATTATATTTAAATGATGATCTAATCTGGGATCGAATTATAGTATGTAATCAGATTTTCTAGAGGCCTTTCACCATGTGCAGGCCCACTGTGCACTGCATATCCGTGCATTGGGGCCATGCCCACTCAAAGGCTGGTGTGTGGCCAGTGGGGCTAATTCCGTGCCCAAATGGGGTGGCTTTCAATGGCAGAGGCCCCAGCTTAGGACGCTACTCCTGCTGCTGGGCATGCGATATGTGTACAAAGAATAGCGCCCGCAAAGAGCTCGCCCAGTGCCCTCCCTTTCAGCCTTATTCCCCAAATGGGCTCGACTTTATTTGCCCACCCTTTGAGCACTTCCAACCGATAATTCCGTTAACTTTGATCTTTCACCAGGTTTATGCATTGGGAAATGTGATTAATATTGTTATTTTGAAAGGCTTTACTTCTGGGGAAGATCACTTGTTTTAGGGCTTTCAAATGCTAGTACTTTTAATATAGATCTTTTGTTCGAAGCTTGTTTTATTTTACTATCATAATCTTGACAGAATATTAATCTATATTTCCGTTGTCATCCTTTAGTCTGCTGCCTAGTTGGAATCCACGGATCTATCCTGCCCGGAGGTCCCGGGATCATAGAATGCGAGCACTTCGACGAGAAGATGTGCAACACAACCCAGCAATGTGAAACACGGATAGAGCACTGTAACATGGAGGCGGATAAGTTTCCCAGCTGCTATGTCCTTTGGTCGGTCAACGAGACAACGGGTGAGCCGGGCAGAAGATGAGGCTTTTTCCGGCATACTAATTGATTTGGTTTCTCGTTTTCCGTCCCCTTAGGCGTCCTGCGAATCAAGATGAAGGGCTGCTTCACGGACATGCACGAGTGCAATCAGACGGAGTGCGTGACCAGTGCGGAGCCACGGCAGGGAAACATCAACTTCTGCTGCTGCAAGGGATCGCGCTGCAATTCCAACCAGAAATATATTAAAAGCACCACAGAGGCAACCACACAAGGTGGGTTCGCATCCGAATCCGAATTCGGATTCATATTCAGATTCGGTTTAACGTTTGCTGCTGCTGGGGATTTGTCTTTGGAGTGTTTACCCCAATTTTGTTATTTTTTCGTTTGCATATATTTTTTGTTTGTTTTTGTTATTTCGTTTTTTTTATTGCATCTTCAAGTTGCAAAAAGAGGGCGTAGGCTTCGCCTACAAATCCCACTCCTGGCATCCGAGGCAGCGTTTTTCGTGTTAACGAACTCTTGACGCGAAGTGGCGCCCGCTCCCCCATCATTTTCTGCATCCCCAGCCTCCAGCAACCCCCTTTTGGAGCCGCATGTGTTGCAATTTCTGCCCTCCTGTGCACGTTCGCTGGTTCGTTTTTATTTTTATAGTAAGGTACTTCTTAAGCGTTCGGGTATAATGCGTTCGCTTCGAAGGATGTGACTGAAAGAGGCAGTTTTTTGGTAGAAATCCAGTTTTACTCACTCCTACTTAGGAAGGCTCCTGATTATAATAGAGTTCTATTAGATTACTCCACACTTTTTTTAATGAAATTTAATTGGCGTGCAACCTTAACCTGCTGCAAAGGCATAGAGTAGCTGTTATCTAATACCAGGTATAGCAGAGTCGAGTGACTTCATTTTAGCATCCTTTCTTGTTTTTATTTTTGGGGTGTCGCTGCTGCCTTTGACTTCGAAGCCCTGTGCTGCTAGGGCGTCTTTTGTGCCCTGCTCTTTGTTGTTTTGTTCTTGGGCCTAGCTCGCTTTTATCTCGAAACAAAATGAGGGGAAAAAGAGATGCGAAATTGGGGGCGAACTTTCGTTTTTTGGTTTTCGTTTTGCCTTTCATAGCAACCCCAGCAGCTGCAGGTGCATGCCGCCACTCGAGATGTTGTTCACCTGTGGCAAGGCAGCGTTTAAAGCCCTCTTTAATGTTCGTTCCCGTGTGTGTCCTTGTATCGTTGCAGTGCCCAAGGAGAAGACGCAGGACGGCAGCAATTTGATATACATCTACATTGGCACATCCGTCTTCAGCGTGCTCATGGTCATCGTTGGCATGGGCCTGCTTCTCTACCGACGCCGCAAGCAGGCGCACTTTAACGAGATTCCAACGGTACGTATCTGTGTGATGTTGCCGCGAATACAAATTTTAATTATGCCCAATTAAACCCTTTAGCACGAGGCTGAGATCACAAACTCCTCGCCATTGCTGAGCAACCGTCCCATTCAGCTGCTGGAACAGAAGGCCAGTGGTAGATTTGGTGATGTGTGGCAAGCGAAGCTTAACAATCAGGATGTGGCCGTCAAGATCTTCCGCATGCAGGAAAAAGAATCGTGGACGACGGAGCACAATATCTACAAGCTCCCGCGCATGCGCCACCCGAACATCCTCGAGTTTCTGGGCGTAGAGAAGCACATGGACAAGCCGGAGTATTGGCTGATATCCACCTACCAGCATAACGGATCGCTGTGCGACTACCTCAAATCGCACACAATTTCCTGGCCAGAACTTTGCCGCATCGCCGAGTCCATGGCCAATGGACTGGCACATCTGCACGAGGAGATTCCGGGCTCAAAGACCGATGGGCTAAAGCCATCCATAGCTCACCGAGACTTCAAGTCCAAGAACGTGCTGCTTAAAAGCGATCTGACGGCCTGCATTGCTGACTTTGGGTTGGCCATGATATTCCAGCCTGGCAAGCCCTGCGGCGATACACACGGTCAAGTGGGCACTCGTCGTTATATGGCCCCTGAGGTGCTTGAGGGTGCCATAAATTTCAATAGAGACGCTTTCTTACGTATAGACGTATACGCATGCGGCTTAGTTCTCTGGGAAATGGTGTCACGGTGTGACTTTGCCGGACCCGTCGGTGAGTTCCAGTTGCCCTTTGAGGCCGAGCTGGGCCAGAGGCCGACGCTGGACGAAGTTCAGGAGAGTGTGGTAATGAAAAAGCTGCGACCGCGTCTGCTCAACTCCTGGCGCGCCCATCCGGTGAGTGTGACTTAAGATAATATGTTTAATCCATGAAATAACTTTTACCATTTTACAGGGACTGAATGTATTCTGCGACACAATGGAGGAGTGCTGGGATCACGACGCCGAGGCCCGTCTCAGCTCTTCGTGCGTGATGGAACGCTTTGCGCAGCTGAACAAGTATCCCTCTACCCAGTTGCTGATCAAGAACCACACCAACATTGACGACGCCAAGGAATCTACGAATTGCTTATAGAAGCGGTACTAAGCCACAGAACAGCCAGCGGCTCTGTGGCTCTGCAACAAATCAGCTGAAGCTTTTCGCTTGCTAGTGGAAAGTTGAACGTTGGTCGTAAGAAGTTTCGTTTGTAGTTTAATAGTTTGTAGTACCATCATCAGCAGCTATAGGGAGGGTTGATACATAAGAAAGAAGTCGTTGAATAGCTAAGGGAAATGCTAACAAAAAAAACCTTCAAGCTTAAGTAGACAACGATATTTTTGTTTTTTCTTTGTTCAAATCATAAGTCGACCCATTCGAAAAGACCCTGTTGGAAAAGAGTGGAAACATACACTAAGCAACGTTGAAAAAGGAGCATTAGAAGTGACGCCATGTTACTCATCCGACATTGACTTCATTGACTGATAACCATACATAGTTCTATATAAATCATGCATATAACGTACAATTTGTTTTGCCCTCTGGCAGTAGTCTGTGTGCATATGTAAGCTGTTGAAAATTATCGTCAAGCCTTTTAAATATAATTTGATTTGTACGTTATCGAATGCCTTCATATAGTAGTAGTTTTATATTTAAAGTTAATTTCAATATATTTTAAAAGTTTTAAGTTTACTTTTTAGTTGTAACGTTTTTATTTCGCGCTCAAACGTGCAAGCGTTTTAATGTTGTATTTTAAATAAAAATACTTAAACTCCATCCTAACCATATAATTTTATATTATTTAGCTTGTTTTATTCTCATTTCAATTATTATTTTTAAAACGTAGTGCCAACGACCCTCAGAAAGCGCGTAATATCGCGTAAGCATAATAAATGTGTAATTATGTAATTGTATTCTAATTCTACTGGACAGTACAAGCAACACCTGAAGTTTTCAAAGGAAAGTTTCTTTTTAACAAGAATCTAACTTAAGCGCATACACATTATAAAATATAAACTATACTCTTTATATACACACACACACACGCATAGGCATACGGAACACACGCAGTCTAGCAGGTTTATATGAAGCACACGCTGCGTCTCATCGTCAGCATTAATTCTAAAAATCAAAGTTAATATTCAAACCACGAGGTATGCACACACTGTAAGAAAGTTAGAGCTAAACACAATGAGTAAGTATGTTAAACATTGTTAAACGGATAGTCTTTAATGTCTTATAATGTTAGCCAAACCAGATGAATGTCGATCTATAGTTATTTAAGAGAGTCTTGGCAAAATGTATTATCTGTCGGGTTATTTGAAATTTTTTTGCGCAGCATCTGTTGGCATCAATGGCTAAGCATCTGAAACACTTCTGGATTATCAGTTAAGATATCAACTAAACACGATACACAACACAGAACAAAACAAACAAAGCTTCATTACCTGATTTTTTTGAGCAACTTACAACAAAAATAGTTTATTACGCAAAAACAAAACAAAACAAAACAAAACAACATAATCTTAATAATAGAACGAATTTTGTTATGCTGTATTTAATTTGTATAGTTTCCATTGGTGCTGAAACATCATTACGACGAAAATAATGATTATGAAGATAATAAGGAACGGATTCAAAAACAACCAGTATTTAAAGAGCGAAGGAAAAATGAAATATTTAATCAAAGTAGTTTGTTACATATCAGATTGCTAAAGTGGATAGTCGAAGATAATATTAATAGATTATTTCAAAACGATGCGCAGAGAAATTTTTATAGCATTATACAAGGCAATAAGGAGCCAACAGCAATTTTGGTATATTTTTGAACGCAATTCATAAGTAAAAGAAAGAAAACGAGTTTATAAACAGTAAATTCATAAAAAAATCTTTTTAAAACACCCCATTTTCAAATATCATCAGCAAAGTTTTATAAAAACCAAAATGCGAAAAACATATACGAGATGATAGCAAGTCATGTTAAGAGTTTATGATATAAAAAGATCTTTGATAATAACGGATTTAAAATAAAAATGAAACTGTTTGATAAACAATTCTTCACCGGTTCTTCCTTAATAAAAATCCATTCTATTCCAGCTTTCTTGCCACTTTTATTACAATTGTCTTCCGTAAACATTCAGACCTTCTGGATTATATAATTCAACAATACAGTTAGGAAAACTTATCCAAGAGCTACACATATCAGATACAAATATTTATATGAATAATATTAAATATAAGGTTTATTACTGGGGGAGTTTTTAGAGTTTGTCCCTGATTAACTTATACAACAGAATCGAACGAATATATAGACTCTAGTACAGGCCTAATTGATACAAAATATATCTATTTACAATCTTCTACGTAGTTTGTGACTTTGGACCATTTCAGTTGTAGTTCTACGATCGTTCGTTCCTCCTCTGTCTGTTTTATAGACTTATCAGACTTATCCTTGGCTCTGTAACTCGCTTTCTATATCCTGGGGAAAAAATCGATCTCTATCAAATGCAAAAATGTAAAGCATTCCGAGTCCTGTGCGTTCTGAATGGGTGTCTTACTAAAATATATACTTGTAAATCTATGTAAATCTATATTGATTCGGCTTCGCATGCCGCGTGAGTGTATAATCACCACCTAATCCTTGTAAGCCATGTTCAGCTTACTGTATCGAGTATATCTTTATTGGGCTCTGTGGCTGTATCTAGGCTAAACATGTACAATATGTAGTATAAATAGGTATTGATGTATATTAAGTACTTATTGAGTTTGTACGATATGTTTGTCCTAGGGAGAAAACTTTGCAAGTGAAGATACAAGATACGAGATACGAGAGTATGCAGTTAGGGACGGTTTCTAGGTTCGTAAAGCGATCGTACTAGTGGAAAAACTAGCCGGCAAAGGGTGGAGTGTGTTTATATAGTTATACAAGAATATATAGAGGTCCCTGTGCAGCAGGTAAGAAATCAAACTCCATTCCATAACAAATCGCCAGCATTGTCCACTGCAAAATAATTTCTGCACAGTGTCGGATTGAGTATATACGAGTATACGAGTATATGGAGTTAATAGGTCTCATCTGACCCACCACCGGATACGCCGCACTTGGAGCGCAGGATGGCCGCCAGGCGTTGGGTGAGCGGTTCTGTCGGGGATTCGGAGTCGCTGCAGGAGGCGGAGGGTATTTTGTTGCCTGAAACGTGGAAATGTGCGAGGTCAATATACGGATATATCGTTTAATCACTCATTTACCATTGCTGACGTCCAGGTCCGCAGCTGTGTTTTCCTTCAGGCCAAAGTTAAGGCTCACGGGCACAATATCGTCCTCCTCCTCCAGGAGCAAACTGGAGTAGGAATGTGTGGTGTTGTCGCTGCGTCCTCCTCCGCCGCTCGATGAATTCCTTGAGGATCCAGAATCGTTGTGGGAATGGGAGTGCGAGTGGGTATGGGAATGGTGGGCGTGAGCTGCCAGAGCAGCTGGATCCTGACCTGCATCGTCGATGGGCAAGTCGAAGTCATCGCCACTGCTGCTGCTCTCCTCCTCGCCATCCATCACATCCACGTTGTCAATCTCATCATCGCCCCATCCATTATCCTCCTCCTCGGAACAATTGTTGCTGCTCTCGCTGCCATCGCCATCTGCATCCGCATCCCCATCCCCATCCACGTCTGCATCTCCTGCTTCGTCCCCGTCCACATCCGCCTCCACATCCGATGCATGCAGATCCAAAGCCAAGTCGGGCGATGAAGATTTATTGTAGTTCTCATCGCTGTCGCTGGACGTGGCCACTGGGGCAACGAGATAAGTATTAATTGACTGACCGACCACGCTGTTCATCTGCTCACTCACCTGCCCGCAACTTATCCAGGATGAGGGGATAGAATTCTTTGGCCGTCGCGTTGTCGGGCTCGTATTGCAGTACTGCATTGTGAAAGTTGTATCAAAAGGTGTTGATGCATTTAAAAATGATATATACATTGAATAGGTTTAACTATATTGCATTTAAGACTCTCTTTCAGACGCTTGTGGAAACACAAATAATAACAAAGTATAAAAATACCAGGAACATTTGATGAAACCAGAAGGCACTTCATTTATTTAAGCTGATTTCCCTGTCATATGCGAACAAAAAAGTGGTAATTGCAGAAGCACTCGGAAGCACGGTGACATACTTTGGAAGCTGATTTAGTATTCTACTCACTCAATTTGCAATATTTCAATGCCTTTTTGTAGTCCTTTAGCATCACGGCGGACAGGAACTGCAGGAGAATCAAGAAACGCACAATATAATACAATACACGTTTAAGGGAATGCCAACAAATCCCCTTCAGATTCTCATAACATCTGAACAACAAAGGGCTTATATACAAGTATCGGCCCACATTGTGGGTAGGACAAAAAAGTTGACTCTGCTGAAAGTTGAATGCGCTCGAAAGCAATTTATTAGCAATCAATAAGCTGGCCAAGTGCGCTCGGTGCCGTAATCCTTCCGAAAGGACTTTAACTTAAATCCGCAATCTCCGCTGGCAGCTCAGCAATTTGCATTTGCATAAGCTCCCCTCAAGGATCCACATTGTTTTTGGCGCTGAGCAACAAATGGGAACTGTGTCACACTTAATTCGAATGTATTTCTCTTAGCATAGCAGCAAAGATGAAAAAATATGGCAATTATCAGCACTACTTCGACATCTTAAGTTAAAATGTTGTTTTTTAAACGTTCCCAACACTCCCACTTATCCACCTAATTGATAAGCTGGAATAGCTGCCGCCCTAATGCATATTCACCCCTAAAAACTCGCTCGAGCGGAAGTGGAAGCTAAAACTCTGGCTGTTTGCATAGCAGCTTCAGCTGGCTCGCTTGGTGGCCAGTTTAGAAGGACTCGGTTGGCCTGGAATGCTTTTACCTCGGCGAGAAACTCAGTGGGCGCGGATATGCTCTCGTCGGCATCTGTGTACTCGGACAGGCTTTGGCTGAGGTCCTCGCTGGAAGCGGAAGTGGGCAGACCGGAAGCGGAAGCTGCGGCTGCGGCGGCAGCCCCGTTCATTATGTTTATGTTGTTAGCTGTGGCCATCAGGGCTGCACCTGCTCCAGTTGTTGCCGCTGTGGTGGCCGAGGTGGTGGCAGGCGCACCTGCCCCGCTTAGGCCATTATCGTTGTCCATGTGGCCATTGCTGCTGTTGGGCCTAACCGCATAGACGCCATTGCCATTCGACTTGTCCATGTAGAGGAGCTGCAAGAAGTGATTTAAATGCATGTCCTGAGGTACGCAGCTCTCCCCGAAATACTCACGTTTGACATGATCTCCGATAGAAATTTCAAAATTGTGCAATCTTCAATTTACCATTTTCACTGCCTTGTCTGAAATGGCAATTAGGGGAAGTGAATAAATTTGAATTTCAGTTGATCTAGATCGGAAGAGGCCGCAGTGCAGCAGTGCTATCGATTTCGATGCTTATCCGTAATTGGATTGCCCCACCTTCGACCTTCAGTTTCTATGCAAGTTGGTAAGACAAAAAGCAGGCAACAAAGAGCGTTGGAAATTCGTTAAATGTCAAATGCTAATTTCGCTTCACGCGGATGAGCGCAGACACTCGCAAGCCAGCTAACCCTAAAGATAATTTTAGCCCAACGGCACTGGATGAAAATTACAGGCTACTTTTGAAATCATGTTATTTTAATGTTAATTTAATGAGGCCCTATATATGGGGCTTGTTTAGAGTTCCAAATATTCTTTTGATAAAGTATAACTATAAAGTTGAAACTCTACACTAAAATAATGATACAATTTAGTTAAAGGTTTAATTTTTTTTGTTAAGTCTTAAGATTCTATATTTGGTAATAATAATAACAGATTAAACGCACATATTTTTATCAGTATTTCTATGTTTTCTGGCAGTGCACTTCTTGCACAAGAAGCGAAATTCAATGAAGCGGTTGATAGGGGTTTTGGGGGGCATATCGCCGGCGGCTTCTCCTTTCGGCCAACTAGTTGAATAGGCCAACTCGACACGCGAACATACGGGTATGTGCCGGCTGCGAAAGCCAAGTGCGAAGAGGGCAAATGAGCGGAATTGTTGGCGTTCTTTGCTGGGAACGGGCCTTTAATTGGCGAGCGACATGCACCACGCCTCGAGGTATGCAATGAATTTTTGGTTATTTATGCAGCATTTGCAGACAGCCATCGAAGTGCGAGTGTGTGTGCGTGAGTATCTCTGTGTGCTTGGTTGTGTGTTTCGGCTGTCTGCCTTTCAATAATTGAAAGCGCTCGCAGTCAAGGACTTGGGGTCGTCACTAAAAACAATAAATTCGCTTTAATGCTCGACAGGCGAATGATTTAGTTATGAGGCTGGTTTCTGGTGTGCACAGAAAAAACAGTGAATTACAAATTAATAACAAAATATGACAATTACATCGCTAAAAGGAAAATGCTTAAGCTTCTAATTTGTATTCTAGAAGACAAGTTTGTAAATAATTTGTTTATCAGCAAGAAAAATGTTTTTCCGGTGTATTTCTATTGCGGCTGTAAAATCAATACCCGTAATTGAAATAATAATAACCATCTTGCGACGTGCTGAAGCCAAAACTGAACGGACATGGCTTGTTTACTGCTCCAAATGGCCCTTAATTGTGTTATATAGCCAGTGCATTGAATCCTAATTGCTGGCTACCCGTCTCTGTCACCCGGTGACGTGCTTTCTCTTTCTGTCTCTGCAAACAACACGTCAGTCAATTGTCTGCGATTTGTTTGCTCGTCGGTTGATCCTTTCTGGCATTTCCAAATGTCAGACATGTCTGGCTCATCCTGTCACGCAAACTCAATCGGAGGACTGCAGCCATATTCCCAATCGTACGGATATCTGTATTTTTTGCTTTTGCTAATTTTCAGCCCAGACTTTTACAAGGTTGCAAAAAGAGACATGTTGCTCGTTGGGGGAACTGTTTTGGAAAAAGCTTTTAAAAGTACTTTGCGACTACTCAACATGTGCCACAATTCTCATGACAGCTTTAGTTTTACTCTTTTGCGAAAAACCCCTTACTTTTCCGGTCCTAAGCACTAACTTATTCAGTGGAGCTCAATTAACACGAGTGGAAAAACTAATTTCGAAACAAGTTTCCTTCCGAGTAATTCAGCGCTTCGAAACTTCTTAAAGCTGTTATAAACTAAAGTTTCGCATGTGTCAGATTCGAGATTTTCCATTTCGCCATTCAAAGCAACTAAAGAAACAAGGAAAATAGTACGGTTGAATTTAAAACAAATGCCAGGTTCCGCTGGAAGGAGTGCTTATTTAATATGTATAATTAATGTATTAATCTAAATTTATTAATACAAAAATTGCATTTATCTTCTTTTAAAGCGGACTATTTGGTACGACAACTATAAATTATTGCCATTACGCTATCGATAAATTATGGCTATAATGATGGCCCACTGAAATGTTTCAATTAGTTTTTGTAAGCCGCAATTTGTGTGATTTTAAGAACAGCTGCCAATGACGTTGTAAGAAATTTAATAGGAAAACTTTGTCTACGATGAGACCACAAACAGGTGCTGGCTACGTACTCAAATCATTTTCATTTGCATAATTAAAATGTCTGCGGGCAATTGAATTTCCATGCCATAGCTGGCAGTACCTGACTTTAACTGGCAACCAACCCCTTTGGTTTGGGCCAAATGTAGAGTCGGCGAACCGGAAAGTTATGTACATATGTGAGGCACATGTGCCACATAGTGAGTGTGTGTGTGTGTGTGTATGGGGTAAATGCGTCATGGGGTCAGATGGCGGCCACAGTGCAGTAAAATTGCATAAAAAGCCATTGCCGTTACTGCAATTCGGTTGTCCAGTTTGAAAATGCGCCGAATAATTTATAACAAACACTTAAATGCGACTGCGATACCAATTTCCCCAGCTAGGCCCATACGAATGTTTGCCAAATTGCCGGCCTGTTGGGGCTTATTTGAGCCAAAACAACATGCAATATGTAGTCGAATCCCATCGCCTGCCAACGACTAACTAACCGAGCAACCGAAGGAGCTGACACTACCGAGCCCAAGGTCCTTGCCACTGGCCAGTCACAACACAAGCCGTTAATGAGTTTTCCGCTTAATACATTTTTTAGCCGGCAAATAGTGCCGGCGAGCCCATCTGGCCAGGCCCATGGATGCAGAGCAAAAAATTGTATGGGTAGAGCTCTGTATTAACACTTTTTGCACACCTAAGCTTTCATTTCGGCGTATTTAAACTCCAAACTCCCTTAATGTTACCTTCACATATGGTATCCATTTAGATTTGAAGTAAGTAAGGAGTTGGTAACAAAATTGGCCAGCTGCTTCTCGTATTAATTAATAAATTGATGAGTATGTGTTTGATAACCCTGTGTAAATGCTGCACCTAAAGTATGGGAATAATTTACAATTTTTATAGCCTGAAAACCTGAAGAATAAAGTCTGTTTTCGTTCTGTGGAGTCGCCTGGCAAAATGTTGTCAATAAAAGCCGAATTTATGATAGAGTATAAATATGTTTGTGTGACAGCGCAGTCAAACGACTTAGAAAACTGCAATAACAATTCTTTGTAAATATTTTGCTCCTTTGGCTGAAAGCGTCCAGTCCTTGAAAGGACGTGGGCCAAATTGCATGATTATAATGATCGCCCTAAAAACGTTGTTATCGCTATTGCTGCTATTGCAATTACGTTTGCTGCTCTTTGAGCGGCTGCCAAGCGTTGGCCATTTAACTGGCTTTTTTCTCGTTGCCAAATATTATGGTAACAGTGTTCAAAACGTACCTTTCGTATGCCTTGGCTGCTAAATGCATATTCATCGGAACTTTGGCTCTTCCAATCAAAGTAAAGTAAAATTGGCTTTAGGAATTCAAAGAAATCTAAAAATATGAGCAATGGATGTCGAGCAAATTCAATGAACTTTGCCTAGTAGTCTCATAAAATGAAGGTCGATTGAATTGACAACCCATAACATCAAATATGCCAAAACTTTCCCAACTTTCCCAGGAAACTTGTGCTAGAAAAACCAAAAGTAGTTTAATAATCGCCAGGGAAATCTTCTTGATGGCCAAAATTTCAAGTGTCTACTTAAATGGAAACAAACACATCCCCATTTAAGGCCACGTATTTTGGGTGCGAAGCTCGTCTCATATTTTATCGCTCCTTAGGTATTATAATATGGCAAAGAAAAACTTTCTGTAGACCGAGAAACTTGTCTATAGAAAGTTTAATTTGCTGCCACCCACGAACAAAACGCCCAAGGACGGACATTTGGGTGGTTCGCTGTGGTCATTGGCTTTGTATGAATTACAATCGATACTTGGCGGATGGGGGATGGTTATCTATTCGTCTGTGTCTAAGCCGAATATGGTTTAGATCGCCACCGAAGCGGCAAATAAGCAATTATGCTCTGTGTGTTACTTTTGCCGTACGCAGCATAACTTTGAGTGGCAGCCATACGCGGCGTATGCGCAATATTTTCCATTTGTCTGTGGCTTTGCCATAACAATGCGGCTTTTCTCTGGAATTGTTCGCATTGTATTGCAAGGGTTTTTGTTTGTCGACCCTGCATTATACCTAAACAGGAATTTATACATATATGCGTATATGCGAGGTGCACATACACACGTTCAGGCACTCTGCCTTTCAGATGCTTTCTAGCCTCCACTCGGCAGCCTGTCTTGGGCCATTCATACACTCATTCACTCATACACTGACTCGCCCAAGTGGTAATTAAAATTATAGCAACAATGCGACGGCTTCTTGGCCAAGAAAGTGATGAAGAGGATGAAAAAGCCGCTGGCTGACACAGAAAGCGAAGCGGAAACGCTGTCGTTTGCTGGTGTTTGTGCAGCACACACGCTAACAAGTTGCGGCTGCTTACATATTTGCTAGGAAAAGGACACACAGGACCTACACAGACTGCTTTGACTGCTTGCAATATTTATGAGTGCCCGCCAACTCGACCCAAAGACGCTGGTGACAAGCCGAGAAGAGACCGAAACAAAAACCAGTGGAGTGATTGTCACATACCGGGAAAATACTATATGCACAAAGTCACCAGTCTGCAGAGTTTGCTGCTTTAAGTCTTACAACAAATTATTTCTCAACTTTTGGACTTTATGTTTATTGATCTCAAGCTGCAATGGATGCGTCCTTCACAATTCAACGCATTTTCAAAGTTAAATTAGTAGGAAACTTGGAAATACAGGGTTCATATTTTATTTCTTCTATTCAACGTCTTCGGAAGATAGATTATCTATGAGGATCTTCTCCAATAACCCCAATTGTCATTATTAATATGGGTCTTACAGTGACCAAAATAATATATGGCCGCGTACCGCAAAAGCTAACCTAATGAAAAGCTAGATTTCATCGTAATTTAACACGTTTCTGTTGTAAAACAGGATTTAAGTGTTTGGCTTACAAATATGTCACATGGAGTCCCAAATGGTTGAGCTCCGCATTGCGAGGTGAGAATTTAGATGGGCCTCGAGATGATCGTTTAGCACATCATTAAAAATGTGTTGCTGGGCAGAAAGTTTCGAGTACTCGGCACTCTGGGGTGGCACACGTTGCCGCTCTCGAGTGGCAGAAATACATAATTAAAATATACAAAAATCCCGCACAGAAGAGCACACAATTCCCGCCAAGGACGAAGGTTAATGCCTGGTTTCGTGGCGGGGATGTGGGGTGAAAGCTGGCATCAATTTCACTGGCCTGCTGACAGAGCAACTTCACGTACCTTCAATTATTTACGGTGTGCGGTGTCCCGTCCACCTGCGTAATGCATTTACAGCCTCTCGGATTTTTCGCAGCTGTGGAACAGGCAAGTCCCAGGATGAATTAGCACTGAGTCCCAGGACTTTCAGCGAATCAAAGATTCTGCGGCGTGGGTATAAACTAATTAACGTGTGTTTGCCCTGGCTTCTACGCAGTTGAAGCTGCAAAAATGCTTCCAAGTGTTTTCTTTGCACAAACTTACACACACAACACACGTCCTTCGATTTTGGCTCACTGGTTACGCGCTAACATTAAATTTTCATTCATTCAGATGCACTATTGTTCTGCATGCACTTAAACGACGAGCAGTATGTTTTACTTTCTGAATACTTTCTTGCAGCGGAAAATGGAAACGTTTTTCACTTCGGTGAAAGGAAATTCGTTCCGCTATTTTGCGTCGCAGTTTCGCTTAATTAACAAAGTCGACGACTGAACGAAATGTCCTTTTTATACACACTTGTTCGCTTTTACCTTGCCCAAGTGAAGCTTTCGGCTCTCTCCCGCTCTCTTTGGCCAGCTTTCTCTCTGAGCGCGCTTGCTCTCCCTTTTTCTAATACCCTGTAAGCAGTGAGGGGTATGATGTAGGTACTATAAGAGGCTCAACTTTAGATTCTAGAAAATATATTTCTCTGTTTTCAGCTAGAATTATACATTGATACAAGTTAATAATTTTTCAAACATATTTTTGCTAACTTAGTAGATATAACGTTATTATGTATTACATTTTACAAAACTATTTCGTAGTATTTTTGTAATTTTTATGGTATTTTAAATATTGTTAGCCTTTTATTTAAAAGCTCGGCTCTTACAAAGCTCCCTCTCTCGCTCTCCTTTTTTCTCTCTCTGTAACGCGGTGTTACAGCAGAGAAACAAAACAAACAACAGAGCGGAGCGGATACGGAAATGGTGCAGGCCAAAGACTGATGGCCGACTGATTGTGGCCATGTTGTCTGCCCTCCGTTTCTGTGTGTGTGTGTGTGGGTTTGTGAAAGTATAGATCTGCCAGTGTGTGTGTGGGTGTTCGTGCAACGCGAGTGGCAAGCCAGCTGGGAAAAATACTATGCAGCGCGTACGCATCCTGTGCGGAGCGAGAGATTTTTGCGGCCCATTGAGTGTGAATTAAGAGATGCCGGCTTAGTGCGAATCCATGCTTATACATTTATGGTTTTCCTTTTTTTGCCCCTCAGCTACACGGCATATATGGATCCATGTATGCCCCCGAGTGGCGGATGCTGGTGGCAGCCCAATGAGGATGGATGCTGGGTATTGGGCACTCCTATGGGGTTTCCGCATTTCGCTTTTCAGCATTTTTGTGGCATACTTTTGGGGGAGGAATCTCCCTGCTATTGGTGCAGCAATATCATTTTTAATCTGAATATTAAATATTGTGATGAATGCCAACAGCAAAGAATGCCTTGTTGAGCTGTTGGAAAATATGTTCCTGGCTTGTCCTTCAGCTATGCAACTTGTACTTTTGCAACATATCAAAAAGGTCAAGAGATGAATGGTACAATATTTTTTGTTTAGGCACTAGTATGCATTAAAATTGCTCCATAAACTTCCATTACAATTTCCGAATTTTTGCAGCCAGCATTAATCCCTAAGCGGCCATTAGATTGCCAGCAGAAAAGAGAGCTACAAACTTTTCACTTTTTCCACTTCCCATTTCCATTGCTCAAGTGAAAGCGCGAAAAAGTCATTCCAGCCGGCAGAAATGCAAAGTTGCATTTGTTTCCGAAAAAAGGGAAATTTACGTTGGCAGTTTCAATCCCGTTTTGCGTGTTGCAGGGGATTCCGCACGATTTCCTGTTCGCCACGGACACTTTGCCCTTCCGCAAGTCCTGCCACATCGCCCGCACACACCAAACACCACGTCCTTCGCACGTGGCAAATGAAAACAGGTCTGACTTTGCTTATATATAAAAAAATTTATTGCGTTTAACTTTGTGGGGTGAGGAGCGGAGAATGAACGAGTTTTTCATGCTTAGCGGCATGGCAGAGGTGGGATTCTTAGTGCTAAATGGGGTGTTCCTAGAGTTCCTAGGGCGTCGGATGAATCGCGTTGATATGTCAGCTGCTTGGTTTGTTGGTATCGACTTAGGATCTACACTTAAACGCTAGCGATATGTTGATTTGGTTGCTTGCAATCGTTTCACAAATGTACAATTAGTCGCTGAAACCGAAGACTACAGAGATAATACAAGTAATCCGAAGTGATCTTGAGACCTCTGATGTTTTCACTGTCCAATTTCAGTTTCTAAAACTTCAAAGGCCCAAGGTATCTGCTCGAATATCTTAAGCATAACATTAGAATACCGATAACTAGTTCATACTCATTTTATCCTTTCATTTAGTATGCATTGGATGAGCTTATAGACTAAGCAAAAATTAAGGATTTCGATTCTGTTCGAAATTCAAATCTTTCGAATCTTTCGAGTGCAATATGTGTCGTTTGCATGGCCTAGCAATTCATGTAGTTGGGCGCCTCCTCCTCTGCCTTGGACTCCTTTTCCGGAGCAACGTCGCCCACATTCTGGTAGACCTCGGCCTGGACCTCGATGCTGCCCACCTGGGGACAGGGGACTGGGATCTGCTTGGGCTTGAAGGAGCTGCAGCCGCTGGCGGAGCTGCTCTTGGTCAGCTTGCCGTAGATGATGTTCGATCGCTCGTTCAGCTTAATGGGCTGCAGGGTGACTCCGTTTTGGTTTTGGTAGTGCTGTGTCTCCGCCTGCTCCTTGGCCTCCATGATGGTGTTCAGGTAGTTGCTGCTCTGGGAGCCAACCAGCGGCTGGCTCCCGTACACGGGTATGTTCGATGGGAACATCTGGTAGTGCTCGGATCCCGTGGGACTGGTGGGTGTGTTTAGGCGCTGGCAACTGGACATGGGCGAGGGGAAGACGATCTGATGACGCTCATCACCGGGCGTGGAGCTGGGCGTAAAGACGGGTCTTGGTGTCGGTGGCACCAAGTAGTTGTCCATCGTCCGGCAGTGGGGAAAGCGACGATCCTCGTGATCTGAGTGCGTGCCCGAATCTCCCAGCGAGGCACCGCTGCAATTGCTGCCGGTGCTCAGTCTGCCGGATGAAGAGCTCGAGCTGGACACGCTTTGCAGGCTCAGCGAACTGATGGGACGTCCTGCTACCGCGCTGGAGCTGACGCCTCCGGCGGACTTGAAGCTGCAGCTGGTGGCTATCGATGACTTGGTCTCGTCCAGCAGACTGTCGTTTCCACCAGGGGTCTTGGATCGCAAGAAGAACTTCTTGATCCGCTCGAAGGGTGTTTCGCGCTTCAGATGAGACTTCACCTGCTCCTGGATGCGCTCGTACTCGCGTCGCAGCTGATCGATCTGGTCCTGCTTCTCCCTGAAGCTCTGCTGCACATCGTTGCGATGCTTCCAGCGTTCCACCAGCACTTCCACATCCCGAATGGAGAGCACGTTGTTCTTGAAATCGTGCATAATCTCGGCCAGCTCATCGTCGGCATTGGACCTTGTGTGACTGGCGGCGGAAGCGTCGCTGGCACTGCGCTTCAGTGTTCCATATCCGGGCTGTTTGTTGGTGCAGCGGCTCATGCGGAGGGGCTCCTCCACGGGTCGATTGGAGGGCTGGAACAAGTAGTTGCCATCATCCTGGGCCACCGGCACATTGGAGGGCTGCAACACGTAGTCGTTGCCCAGTTGGTTTTCCAAAAGTTGCGAGCACTCTTGGCTGAATTTGTCGGTCTGATAGAGTGGCGCCGCATCCACCTCGTCCAGGGATTTGCTCTGGTTCTTGAGCTCCTTTGGCTGCTGGTTCTGCTCTTTGGACTGATAGTAGGGAGGCTCGTTGATCCTCAATTCGTTGGTGGTCTTTTCCGGACCGGGCTGGCTGCCAGCCTCGGGCAGTTTCTTCTCAGATTCCACCTTCTTTTCGAACACGGAAGCCTGCAGGTTTTCGTCCTCGGTTTCCACACTTATGTAGTTGAGATTCGAGATAGCAAGGGTTTCCGTTTTGGGCCTCACTTCAGGTGTATTCTCCCGCTCCGATCCACTGGACATCTCCATGTACTCCGCCGTGGGCAGTTCCTTCGGAGGCTTGCTGGTCTTTCCGGCCTTGCTCGGATTGGCTTCAATCACCACATTGGCACTGGGCTTGGGGCAGCTCTCGCCTGGCGGAGTCACTCCCTTGAAGTAGTGGTACATGGTGGTCAGTTCGTGGAACTCTGCGAAGCTGACGATGTTCTGTGCCAACTTGTGATGGCCTTCCTGTTCGGCTAACTCGGCCGGAGTGCGTCCGGCGCAGTTTCTCACTCCGCAGGCGGTGTCGCCACCTGGACACTCCATCAGCTGGATGCACAGGCGATTCAGGCCCCATCTGGCGGCGAAGTGCAGCAGCGTGGGGTACTCCTCTGGACTGGATTCCAGCCGGGTGAAGAAGTGTGGCTGGCGCTCGCTGGGACCACTCAGCAGGTGGAAGTTGGGCGGCATGTTGCGCTGGAAGCACTGCAGCAAGTGCTGATCGAGGGCATCCCGCTCCACGGGCCCAATTCCCAGGGCATGGCACATGAACTCAATTGGCGAGTCCTCGATCCGCAGCAGCTGCTCCAGTTCCCGCAGGCGACTCTCGCACTTGATGGGCCTGGCACCCAGGCTCTTGTTGTTCTTCTCGATGCGGATCTCGATCATGGTGGAGATCTCCATGCAGGCCTCCGGGATATTGAACTGCAGGGTGTAGGGATTGCGGCACTTGAAGTTGCGCAGTTCGATCAGCTCACCGGACTTCTCCACCAAGAGCTTGAGGGTGTCGTTCTTCTCCAGCGGTTCCGCCAGCAGAGCGACCACCTTGTTCTGGCCCAGCTTCACCTTCTTGGGCAGCACAGTGAATCCCTCCGTGCAGCTGGAGAAGCTGCGCGAGAGACCACTGCCTCCTCCGCCGGAGCTATCCTGGCACGGAGGGCGCTGGCACAACGCGCGTCCCAGGATATCGGTGGCTATGCCCAGTATATTGCTGATCTGCACCTGGTCATTGTCGCGCACCACACACCGCCGCCACTTGTAGTAACTGGGCAGCGCCGACTTGTGCATCTCCTTCACCTTGTCCTCGCTCACATCCAACAAAATGGCCAGGACCTTCTCGACGCGAATGATGGCCGATAGCTGGGTCATCAGAAAGCTGTGTGGGAGGGCCAGTAGGGCGGGGCAGAGGATCACAATCTGCAAGGCTGTGTTCTGGTACTTGTGGGCGATCTCCTCGCTGAAGGGACCATCGTCAATTTTGATGTGCAGAAAACTGAAAAGGATAAAGGAGGCCACATAAATATTAGTTGGTCAAATGTACACATAGGCTCATTGCAATTTTCAATGAATGAACTTAAAATTCTATCTAACTTTCTATCGAACTTCTATCATTATTGATCAACTCACTTGAATGGCTTCCGTCCGCGCTGTTTGGTGATCTTGTCGAAGTGGTTCTTCAGGAAAGTG